AGAATTTCATTTAGAAAAAAATTTTTTTCAATGATTATTTATATAAATTGTTAAATTTTTATTTAAAATTCATGCTTGAAAAATAAAAAAATCAAATTAAATCTATTAAAAATAAACAAATATGTCAAAAATACTAATATTGACTTAGTTTTAATCAGTTAGATAATCAAAACAAAACTTTTAAAATAAAAGTTTAGTTTTTGTATTTTTTATGTAAATTAATTGTAAGAAAAATATATTTATTACACCAAGCACAGCTTTAACAAACTTCTATTTATCAGCTTTAACCTTTTCTTTTTAAATTTAATTTTAAATTGTGATTTTTTTAAAGATATCAATTTTTTTAATTTAGAATGGTGATTATCCATTTACATTTTACTGTTAGCTAGAAATTGAAAACTAAACGAATTCAAAATAAATTATTGCTTTATTCATAAGATAAATAAAATTAAAAAATGCAACTTAAATTTAATTTGAATATTATAAATAAAAAATCCATTTAGATTAGTTATTTGAAATTAAAATTTTATCTTATTATATTTTTAATTTAAATTCACATTTAATCTCATTGTATTATTATTTTAAATTTTAAAATAGCAATTCCTGTCACGTTTATCAAAAATAATAAAGTGAAATCCATTTCCGCTAAAATTTGAAACAGATTCTATCAAATTTTGCGCAATCCTTTCCACAACAAAATACAGACACCTCAATTCGTCGGGACAAATTCAATGCAATGTTCATTTCATTCCATTTTTCTTTTAGTATTCTCTTTCCCTATCATGGTGTTAAAGAAAAAAAAAAGTGAGAAAATGTCTTCCAAATGTGATACTTGTCAATGGCACCCAATTGGAATAAAATAGGGATAACTGAAAAAAATGGTACAAAGTTTCTCATACAATAATAAGGCAATAAAAAGAAGGTGTTCAAGCATCATCGTTGCCTCTCAAAACCCAAATATGGCCCATGATTCAACAGCACCAAACAAGTAGCTCCTGCAAACAAGGGAGAGATAGAAAAGTCAGGAAAGCATAGAGAAAATTATGGGCTTTTCTCCATTAGGTGGATTGAGGATGACCCAAAAGAAATGGATACAATTTTTCATTTTAAAATGAGCTTAAAAGTACTTGAAGTTGCTATTAACCCATATAAAGCACAGGCCACTCGCCTCACATGAATAAGGAAATATAGGTACAGTACAGCCCCTTAAAGGTAAAATTACCTTAAAACCCTTAAACGAATGAAAAATTACAATAAAAAGGAAAAGTGGGCATCTCTCAAACTTTTGCCTATAAAATGACTAACCTTTGAATAAAAGGGTAAAAACCTATTTTTAGTCCTTTATTTTATTAGATTTGTAAGTTTTACTCCCTTATTTTATATTATGACACTTTTAACCTCTCATCTATTAGAATTGAAAAAAAAAAAGTTATCACTTTATAATATTTCATTAGTTCTGTTAACTGATTATTAACTTTGTTAGTTGACTATTAATTCTATTAACGAAAAGTAAATTTTTAATAATTGATAATCAGCTAACAGTCAACTAATATAGTGAATAGTCAGTTAATAAAATAGTTTTGTTAACTGACTGTTAACTCAATTAATTTTAAGTAGGTTTTTTTTTAGTTCATAATCAACTAATAGTCAATTAATAGAGTTAATAGTTAGTTAATAAGACTAATAAAATATTATAAGAAAGGGTTATTTCTTTAATTTTAATAAGTGAGGGGTTAAAAGTATTATAAAATAAGATGAAAAATTAAAAATTACAAATCTAATAAAATAAAAAGTTAAAA